AAAAAAAAAAAAAAAAAAAGGAATTGAGAACCCAGAAAAAATCCATCCACTAATAGATGCATCCAGCTAATCTTTGACAAAGGGCTAGAATCAGTTAAACCGGGAAGAGAGAGTCTTTTTAACAAATGGTGCTCGCCAAACATTTTGCAGAAAAATGAAACAAGATCCATACCTCACATCATACACAAAAACCAACTCCAGAAGGATCAAAGACTTAAATGTAGAACCTAAAACTCTAGAGTTCATCAAAGAAAAAATAGAGGCAAACTTAGGGGCCCTAATATATGGCATTAACAGATTACCAAACAAGTATATATGCACAAACAGCAGAAGGTAAACTAAATGATTCAGACCCTCTAAAAATTAAATTCTCACTGCATCAAAAAACTTCTCCAAAAGAGTAAAAAGAGAACCTACAGAGTGGGAAAATATATTCTGCAACAAAGTATCTGACAAGGGACTTATCTATAAAATGTATAGAAAACTCTGACACCTCAACATCAAAAAGACAAACAATTCAATTAAAAAATGGGCAGAAGACATGAATAGACACTTCACTAAAGAAGATATTCAGGCAGTCAACAAACACATGAAGAAATGTTTGCAATCATTAGCCATTAGAGAGATGCAAATCAAAACAATGAGACACCACCTCACCCGAGCACTAATAGCAAAGTTCAGTAAGACAGAAAATAAACTCTAACGAGGATGTAGAAAGGTTGGGACTCTCACACACTGCTGGTGGGACTGTTAAATGATATAACCACTGTGTTAAATGGTATGCCAAGTTCTTAAAAATTTGGAAATACAGATACCATTTGATCCAGCAATCCTATTATTAGGTATATATTCTAAAGATGTGAGAGCCAGGACATGAATATGCACACCCGTGTTCATTGCAGCACTATTCACAACAGCAAAGAGATGGAAACAACCTAAGTGCCCATTCAACGGAAGAATTTATAACCAAAGTATGTACATGTACACCACACCACAGTGGAATACTATACAACACAAAAGAATAATGTAGAATCCATGAAACACCACATAATGTGGATGAATTTGGAGGACATTATACTGTGTGAAGTAAATCAGTCACAGAAGGACAAATACTGTTATTAGTCCACTACTGTAAAAAAGTCAAGATGAAGTTTACATTTGGAAAGAAAGTTTCTTTGTTGGTTATCAGGGATGGGAGGGGAGGAGAGGGAAAATTGCTAGATAGGTAAGAGACAAGTATTGATTTGGGTAAAAAAAAAAGAAAGAACTTACCCACAAATTCCCAGTATTTTTTATAATCAGCAGGAAATTTCCGTAAATGCAACTGATGGAAAATCTCTTTAACTGGAGAACTGAGCCATTCTTGTGCCACCTATACAAAGTGAAAAGCAAACAAGAGAGTAAAAACATACTAGGAAGTCATCCTAAAATTTTCCAAAGGAAGTAACCAGAACTAGAACCAGAATCCCAGGTGATTTCATTTGTGGCAATTTATCTAGAACTACCCTGTTTGATTCAGCAGCCACGCAGGACATAAGCAACATGCAGCTATTTAAATTTAAAGCCAATTAAAATGCTTAAAATTCAGTTCCCCAGTCATACTTGCCACATTTCAACTTCTCAATAATTACCTGTCATTACTATGCTATATATGACAGAACACAAAGCATTTCCATTATTGCATAAAGAACTGTTGGACAACACTAGAAGAATTCTACTTCCCAACCAAAATACCTCACAAGTCCAAAACTACCTAGATTTCTTGCAAACCCTTGGGTTTCTTTACCAACATAGCATCTTGATAGCTTCTAAAACTCTCTGCATCCATTTCCTAATCCTTTACCAAACCCCAAAACTCAGAAAAGTACTCTTAAAGATCCTCTAAGAAATTAAGACTACTAGGTTGGGCAATCCTACTTCCGTAGTGATACTGCCTCGGAAACCCAAGGAGGGGTCGCTATGAGTCGGGGCCGACTCGAAGGCACATAACAACAACAACCACCCCTACCCAAATGTAGAAAAAATATTATTTGTGTAAATAAGTCATTCAAGGTTTCAATTCTCAAAAAAAAAAAAAACCTCTTATGCTCTATTTTTCCTTTACCTTTTCAACCTTAGCTAAAGAGTCCATCAAAATCTTTAGCTCATGATGCATTATAATCATAAATCTATACAAGGTCCCTCTCTTTTTTTTCTTTTCCCCTTTATCTCAGATTCCCATTACCATTTTAACTTCCATCCTAGGCATCCATTCTAGTGTGTTTGGTATTAGTATAACAGAAAAATCTAGTACTGTTTGCGTGTTATGTGCATAATTTACAAAAATGGTATTGTGTAATAAAGCTTTAATTTTCTACTCAATTTTTTAAGTCCTTTATTATTGATTGTTAAAGTACTCCGTAGTATGAAAATGCCATAATTTACTCATCCATTCTCCAACTGATGCCTATCCCACAACAATTCTATAAATAACATCCCCAAACAGATAAGATTCCTTATGAATGGATCTATGTGTATGTTCTGTTAAGTATACCCATGAGTGAGATTTTGCTAGATCACATTTTCATCAACTCTGGTGGATGGCTCTCCAAAATAAATACACTGGCCTCATTCCCATCAGCAATATGAGACTACTAGAATTCCCATTTTCTCAAATAATGTATTTGGTATTGTTCACCACTTTAATCAATATTATAATTACCTTTTGTTCTTAGTGAATTTGAGTAACTTATTTACCATTTAGGGATTTTTTTCCTATGAACTGCCTTTTATTCTCTATCCATCTTCCTATACTATGCTGGTGATTTACAAAAGTTCTTTGTATATTCTAGATATTAATCTCTTGCCAGTTTGGGGATGTTTTAACTTCCTTCTTCCTGTGTTAACTATGGGGCCCTCTACTTAATTATTAACTTTGATAGACTAAAATCCACTAATACCTAAGTTTGTGGTTAATGCTTCTTGGGTTCTTAGTTTACCCTTAATCATCTAAATAGATATGTATTATTTCTGGTATGTTCCTCTATTAGCTTACAGAGTGTTATCTTTCAAATATGTGTACCTATATGGTAGAAGGTAGGGATCTAGACTAATTTTTCCCAAATACCATCAATCAATCTATCCTTTCCGCACTGATTTATGGGAGCTCTGGTAGCATAGTGCCTAAGGCATTTGACTGCTAACCAAAAGGCTGGCAGTTCAAATCCACCAGTCACTCCTTGGAAGGAAGGCTGGGCAATCTACTTCCATAGTGATACTGCCTCAGAAACCCAAGAAGGGGTTGCTATAAGTCGGGTCCGACTCAACGGCACATAACAACAGCAACAACATTTATCTTATACCAAGTTCCATCTCTACCCATCTCCCAATCTTTTGCTAAAGCCCCAAAATAAGAAAAGTTTGAGAGCAGGGAGAAGTGAACTTTCAGGACCCAAAGGGCCTCTATACCATCTCAATGGGTTGTTTGTTGCTGTGCCATTCATAGAGAGTCTATTACCATGGCTTTGAAATGTATCTTTATGTCTAATAAGTGAGTGCATACCCACCATGTCTACCCACTGCCCTTAAGCTGTTCTTTTCAAAACAACTTTAAGAGATTTTATTCTTCATAGAAATTTTTAAATAAATTTATTAATCTCCTCAAAAAATTATGCTAAAAAGTTTTAACCAAAACTACACCAAATTTACAGATCGATCCAGAAGAGTACATCTTTACAATGTTGTCTCACCATGAATATGGCACCTTTTCCCAGTTACTCAATTTCACGTCCTTCAAAGAAATTTTAGTGTTCTCCATTAATCTCATGCATTCTGTTAAACTAATTCCTAATGTTTGGATTGTGTTTTGTTTACAATTATAATTGATTTCTTTTCGACCTTGTACTTGGTTACTGCTGGTGTAAAGAAACATTACTGATTTTTTTGCACATCAATCTTATATTCAACTATTGATTCTACTGGAGTTTCTGAGTAGAAGTGGTATCACTTGCAAATGATCAGAATTGTTTCTCAATCCTCTATTTTTTCATTCTTAATGAACTGTATTGCTGGATACTAGCTATAGCAGCTATCATCATCTAAACAACTGTTCTGTTAATTGTTGCTTTGTACATTTTGAAATTATACTATTACACACATATACATTTATGAACAATGCATACCACTGTCCTTGGGTTACTGCTCTTTTTATTGCTATCTACTAGTGTCTCTGTCCTTTGAATTGTATGCACTGTTAATCTAAAGGTCACAGTAGAGGATCACAAAGAGAGACAGGAAATCCATAGTTTAAGAGAATTTGTCAAAAGTCAAAAAACTGGGCACTGCCTAAACACTGTATGCTTCTGCTATTAATATTCCTTTATGTGTTAAATATAAGGGTTGAAAAACAAGTATTTCTTCCATCAGTCATATCAATATAGAAAACACTAATCTTCCTAAAAGTCGACTTTGCTCTCATTTGCCCTTTGTGCTAAAGGATAATTTAGCATAATGTCTTAAAATTTTACCTGGAATTAGACATAGTAACTGGAGAGACAAACACTACATTTCACATTCTAAAGAGTATCAAACAAATTTTTGTAAAAAGATCTACATCTATTAAAAAAAAAAACAAAATAAATAAATAAACAAGGTATCTTAATAATACTGCTAGTAATTGTTGGCCTGTAAAAACTGTTATTGTTGTCAGTTGCTGTTAAAGGAGATTCCAATTCACAGTGAGCCTCTAGGACAGAGTAGAACTGCCCCCATAAAGTTTCCAAGGCTATAATCTTTATAGAAGCAGACTGACACATCTTTTTCTTGCAGAATAGCTGGTGGATTCGAACTGGCAATCTTTTGGGTAGCAGCCAAGAGCTTAACCACTGCACCCACTACCAGGGCTCCTTATATGCATTCCATTAACAAAGTGAATATAAGCAAGAGAAATTACCTCAGAATAATGGTGATGATCCTTGGTTCAGGGCTGTGGCTGATGCCACAGGCCATAGCTTATTAGAATAAAAATTAAAATTAAACCAGGTTTCTTAACAATACTGCCAATAACTGTTGGCCTGTATAAATTATTATTGTTGTTACTATTGTTGTCAGCCACTGTCGGGTCAGCCCCTAACTCACAGTGACCCATTTACTCTGTGAGTAAAAGTACTCAGAGGGTTTTCTTGGCCGTAATCTTTACAGAAGCAGTTTGCCAGGCTTTTATTCCATGAGGTCCCTGGGTGGATTAGAACTGCCAATCTAACTCAGGTGCATCTTCTATATACATAAAAAGTGCTGAAACAATGTTGTTCAAACTGTTAAAAATGTAAAACTTAGAGGTAAAGATAGCAGATTGAACACACTTTTTACCTTTCATTCCTCTTGTAACCCCACTAAAACACCTGATAGAAACATCAGTAATCCATTTAGGACAAAGAAAACAGAAGAGACAAGAGGAGTAAAATTTTGGAAACTAGAAAGCAGATGGGTGAATTGTAACTAACTTAGCAAGCCTAAGCAGCTGAACTCCAACCAGAAAGCAATCTGATGTATACTCCTGCAAGGAAGGGTGAAAAGACAGTGCCCCTTCTTTATCCAGGCAAAAACAGATTTAGTTTGTACAAAGGATAATACAGGTGCTGGCCCTGGGGATTTCATCTCACTAGGATCCACAATCAATGCCCAAGGAAGCAGCAGTCAAGAAATCAGATGTTGTATTGCACTGGGAAAATCTGCTGCAAAAGACTAACTCTTTAGGATCTGGCAAGATGGCGGACTAGGCAGAAAGACTGCACAGACCCTCTTCAACAAAGAAAAGGGAAACCAATGGACACAGACAAAGAAGATAATCCTGGACCCCTGAGCCTTGAAGGGAAAGACATACAAGTGGACTAAACCCCAACTAGCAGAAGAATTTGCATGAAAATATGAAAAAAGGAGACAGATGGAGCTGCGGTCTGGCAGCGATCCTGAGCGATCCTGACGGCACAGACAGCTTGGAGATTCCCAAGTGGTGGTAGGACCTAAGAATTAACCTGCTAGCCAGGGACTGCACGGAGGACTGTGCACGGTTGCTGGGGAAGAAATGGAGAAGGCGAAGAGAAAGGTGGGCTAAGCTGTGGACTTTTGCCGGTCCGGAGTGCACCGCCATTTTGAAGGTTTAAAAAGCGGCTTGACTATTTCGGATATTTAAAGAGCACACTCGAAGATTCCTGGGGCTTAAGAACACGTTCTTCTTTCCATCAACCCCAAGGACACTCGGGACCTGCAAGACTGACAAGTTATGGCATTCCTCGTTACTCTTGGTGAACAGAGGTGCAGCCATCCTCCACTCCCACCTACCCTTCTGGGCCCACAGGAACTCCATCATAGTCTGTGTGCTCAGATGGAGCCTGG